CTTGTAAAATCCCTTGCTGACAGTAAATAAATATACAAAATAAGTAGTTTTGTTACTCTTCGAGACTGATATTTATCTCATTGGTTCGACATGAATTACGTGAATCTAATCTAACACAGGATAATTATTCTCACATTTGTAACATGCTTCGAAGTTATTTGTTGAATCATGCTACGTATGTGGTGGATCCCAGCAAAAGAGCTTATTCAAGATACAACAGTACGCAAATTTACCAGTAGTGTACCACAAGAGTTAACACTACAAACCTAAGTGTCTGTCTATGAGTAAAGCGAAAGGTAACAAATTAGTTACAATATTAATGGCATATTAAACGACAAAGTGATAACAGTTGTTATGAAATGAATGTTATTTGTGAGCTTCTCTCTGAGACAACAACCAAAAATGAGTTCACTTGATTAAAAAATTCTTTTGAACGTGGTGGCACTAACGGCGTAATGAGAAAGGTTAAATACAATAGTATTATTAAATAATGATCCGGGCAGAAACTCCAACATAGTGTGAGAAAGTCTAAAATTATGTTATAATACTCTTATAGTTTTCAATTGATACAGAGAAATAATAGGTATTGAACATAAATGTGGTTACATGTAAAGTGTGAAAAATTAGAGAAAAGATGTGGTTTTTATTTTGTCGTTAGAAAATCATTGAATATGCATGTGACAATACATATTGCTACGAGAATGGAAAATAGTATTAACTAAAAGCAAATTCAAGCGACCTTGGTTGCTTAATTTATCACTTCTGAGCAAAATATTATGAATTTCACTGACTGGAAATCAAGCTTCTTCATCTCTTCATAGCTAATACACGCTGTTTTAGTGTCTTGGAATGGACTGCTAGGTTTCTGAAATAATTCTCTCTTTAAATTCGGAATATTTATCCAGTCAAGAGGAAGAATTCTTGTTAAATTCGGACGAGAATAAATGAATGGCAGCCGTGAGGAATTACTTATGAACTAATATTATACATATATACTTGTTGTATGACTATTGAGTAACTACCTTATATGCATAATAATATTCCCATTGCAAGCTTTTAATTGATCTACTGACTATTGTCAGATGATTTACTGTTCTTGAGATTTTCCTAATTTATTAGTAACAGTTTCTTATAATAACAGCCGTTTTGGAATGGGTCTTTTACAAAGGTTATTTTCTATCTTATGGTATGATATGGTACGATTTGTTTGTACATGAAGTGAGTATGTTTGACATATATGATTCGAATAGCGGAGGCCGAGATTTGCGTTTCGAACTTAACAGGCAGTGCTAGGCGGAAAACGTACCAATCGGGACTCTAAGATATCAGTACTGGTGTATGAACCATGATTTTGTTCTCATAAGTCAGTGTATCTATAATCGTATAGATAAGGACGTAGCACCAACTGGTCTCCCAAATCGCGTTTTGCAACTTGTTTCTGTAGTTCAATATACTCTTTAACTTCCTGATCATTTTGCCACATCATCTTATAAAAGTTTGATCTATCTCTAATAAAAGCTAGCACACTAAACATGACTAAAAAGCTAATTTCTCTGAAAAGGCAAATACTTTAGCAGATCACACACCCCTTTGTTAATGAATGTCAAGAAATTTGCTGCAAATTTATAATGTCTAATATATTTTCTAATTATCAATCAGATTTCGAACCACCTCATTTAGTTTTCAAAGACATTCCTACTTGAATTAATATACAATTTTCCAATCAGCGTCTTAATCGTGACGCCAATATTATAATTAGAAGTATCCCAACTGATTTGTTAACTAAGAATTCCGGAAATATTGCAATGTAAGGCAGGTAAAACCAAATGATCATAGCTGGACAGATTATACTTGGAATTCGTAATCAACGCGCGATCAGGGACAAAGGAATCAGCAGTTAGTACAGATACCATACATTTTAATCAAAATAATCATTAAAATGTTGGATTTATTGAGTGCTAACTGCATCATGTTACTATGAGCACAATAATTTCGCGGGTTAAGTTAGTT